CACACACACACACACACACACTCTCTCTCTCACACACACACACACACACACTCTCTCTCTCACACACACACACACACACACTCTCTCTCTCACACACACACACACACACACTCTCTCTCTCACACACACACACACACACACTCTCTCTCTCACACACACACACACACACACTCTCTCTCTCACACACACACACACACACACTCTCTCTCTCACACACACACACACACACACTCTCTCTCTCACACACACACACACACACACTCTCTCTCTCACACACACACACACACACACTCTCTCACACACACACACACACACACACACTCTCTCTCTCACACACACACACACACACACTCTCTCTCTCACACACACACACACACACACTACACCCACCCACCCACTTACTCACTCACTCGAGTTCAGTCCCTCACCAGTCAGGATGATGTTGGGCACGGGGTGCCGCCCGTCTGTGTAGCTCTGGTTGATCATCTGTTGTTCCGATGAGTCCAGCAACTCCATCGGCGCCGGCTGACCCTGATACGAGCCGCTCTGAGCCTTCAGAACCACAGCAGAACCACCGTCATGATTCACAGCCTCCAGCTGAGAGTCCACACTCAACTACACACCACAAGAACAGAGATGGTTAACGTGTGTGTGTGATTGTGTGTGTGTGTGTGTGAGTGTGAGAGTGAGTGTGTGTGTGAGAGTGTGTGAGAGTGAGTGTGAGAGTGAGTGAGTGAGTGAGTGTGAGAGAGTGTGTGTGAGAGTGAGTGTGTGAGAGAGTGAGTGAGTGAGTGAGTGTGAGTGAGTGTGTGTGAGAGAGAGAGAGTGAGTGAGTGTGAGTGTGAGTGAGTGTGTGTGAGAGTGAGTGTGTGTGAGAGTGAGTGTGTGAGAGAGTGAGTGAGTGAGTGAGTGTGAGTGAGTGTGTGTGAGAGAGAGAGAGTGAGTGAGTGTGAGTGTGAGTGAGTGTGTGTGAGAGTGAGTGTGTGTGAGAGTGAGTGTGTGAGAGAGTGAGTGAGTGAGTGAGTGTGAGTGAGTGTGTGTGAGAGAGAGAGAGTGAGTGAGTGTGAGTGTGAGTGAGTGTGTGTGAGAGTGAGTGTGTGTGAGAGTGAGTGTGTGAGAGAGTGAGTGAGTGAGTGAGTGTGAGTGAGTGTGTGTGAGAGAGAGAGAGTGAGTGAGT